GAGAGAGAGAGATGGAAGAGGAAATGGTGTTGATGCAGTGAGGTGGAGGCGATAGAGGTATTCTGATTCTGGTGGAGAGTAACGGAGAACACACTGAATGAAAGAGAGGAAGGGAGAGAGAAGAAAGACATAAAAAATATTAAAAGAGAAAAAGAAAAGGCAACTATCAGAAACTATAAAAAATGATGGCGATACAAGTGGTAACCTGACAAAAACTTAGGGTACATGACTCCATATACCGGTTCACAGCTGACCAGTGTGAACCTTGAACCAATCATTTGTGTACAGGTTCCTGATTGAACCAATAGATACTGATACTGGTACATACCAACTGGTATGACCAGTTTTCTAAACCTTGGCTACATCGACAGACAGATCACAAAATTGAATGAAGTACTAGCCTCAATTGTTCTATAAACCTCAGCAAAGCAGAGAAGCTTTCCAATACAAACTGATCGTTAAGAATCTCCTTCTTCAATTACAACATGCCCAAGAAGCTAACCCCTCCTTTCTTGTGAGAAATGCCCCTTTTAGGAAATACACCTCTTACAAAGTGTTAGTACTGGAAGATGAGTTAAAAAGAACAAGAAAGACTTACAAGAGAATCAAACCAAAAAACAAAAAAAAGAAAAAATCTCATCTTTCTTGATCTCAATTTTCAGTGGAAATGGCTTGTTTCCACCATGGAAATAAAGGCAGAGTGGCAAGATATCCGTTTTCTCCCAAGAACTTATATGGACATAATATACCAACATTTCAAAATGGCTAACATCCAGTTCTCATATCAAGAAGTAAAATAAAGCATTTTTAAGAAGTAAACTTAATCACATGTTTAATTTGTGAATTATTCTGATTTGCATTTTTTAAGAAAATGAAGCATAAAGCCTTCATTCATACAAGTAAAACTCTGAATAAAGAAGATAAAATGTCCTAAAAAATCATAAAAATACTTCATAAGATTGTTTATTATGCAGATGAAATAAATCCCTTATTTTCAGAATATATTGACGTCACTAAAATCAAAACTCAGATATGCCTAGCAACTCATATTTCAAACATCAAACAAGTTAAACATGTAAGTTGCCATGAGGACATGCACTTAATGGAACGACTCATACCTGGTCACAGATATCAAATCCTATTTTAAACCTCACATCTTGATCCTTTTGGAAATTCAATACACTCCATGCCAATTCAACTGCTCCCCTTGCCTTCCTCCACAAGTAATAATGATTGTTATGTTTATTATTACAAACAGTACAAGCATGAGCAAATTAACTTCAATATTCGTCACAGTTTAATCAGAAATGGTGAGAACATACACTGATTTTTTTTCTTTTTATTTTGCTGAATTTAAACAGGAAAGTGGCATTTTGTTGCATAGATATAACAGTTTCAGTAAAAATGGTATAGCAGGAGCACCTTTCCTCAAAACAGAAAAACAAAAAACAAAAGCTTAACTGTTGCATGAAGTATAAACAACAACTGTTCGGTGGATCTCGAATCAACCTTATTAAAGTATTTATGGGATGGCATGGAGAGAATATAAAGATTATTGCACTAGATGATAATTAGATCAAACTTACAACAGAAAAGGGTAGAGATACTGAAAATGTCAGTATTTCCGACTTCTACTTATGTTCTCGATAGTAGGTCTCCGTTGTTACCTTTTTTCAATAAATTATCTATACTACTTATCATCCAAACACCATATTAATTTCAGATCAGCCACTGCAAGCAGGCACATCCCAATGGTGATGATGACTCCCAAATCTGGTACAGGCAAAAGGGTAGAGAATTGGACATGTACCCTATCCAATTTATTACTGGAATTGGACCTGTGTCTAGGTCATGACCAATAGATGAGGCCAATTCAGACCTCAGGTAGACCATGTGTCTAAGACAAGTCACATAATGAGGCAAAATTATAGTTTACAGAAAATAATTAGTTAAAGCAAATAAAAGCTTGTATCAAACACAATGAAAAGAAAATAATCATCCATAAACAAAATTCACTTGATCAGCTGATAACTGACGAAACTATCGAATTTCATCTAAAATTGAATAAGAGAAGTTACTTTGATTGTCCACAATAAACTACTTCAAATTGAAAGGCATTTAACTTTCAAATCTAGAATACTAGATTCAACAAAAGATATTAGGGACAAAGTTCAAAGTATAGAATTGAAATTGATATTGACTGTCAAGCGCAAGTTGGGATTATATTGGCTATAAGCTTAGATCATATTATGAAAAGGGCATTTAGGTCAAAGAATTAACTTTGAAAGGTCTCCATAAATCAATCAGACATTAACTTAAAATTTTAATGACAACATAGCATTTAACCCAAACCCTTACTAAATATCCGAATTTGCACTTATCAGAGCTAACGTAGCTTGAAACACAGAAAAAATTAACAATTAATGATGATCCAGACATGAGCCTGAACTTGAATCTAATAAAACTAAATCCATTTAAGTAACTCTTGACTTAGACCCACTCTATGGTGATTGAACAAGGGACAAGTTTAGCATGATGTTCATGAAAAGTTTAGCATCAACATGAATATTCATCTTGCTGAAGAGTATATTCACTAAATTGTAGTCATCTTGCAAATTGGAAAACCATGACAAAATTACACAAAAGAAACTCTTAGATACAACAGAGGACACACGTTTAGCTAAAATATAACAAGGTGAATAAGAGAACCAGATAACATACAAGCAAAAAACAATATGCATGCACAGATTTTTTTTCTTTCTCACAGAATTCGTGTGTGCATCATCAATAAAACTAACCTCCTTATATTCTTTGTCGAAATGGAACCTTCCCTTCAAGTTTATCCCCACTAGACCACTGGCTGTGACTGGAAATGCCTTCTTTCCTCGAAGGCTATAACAGGGTTTTTCATCTTTGTTGAGCTGAATGCCAAAACCCATGCTGGCTGATAACTATATGATAAGAACAAAAGGTATTTTATAGCCTATTGTTTCGTGAGACTATTTTACCTTGAGAATGTTGTTATGTTCCAAAGCCCGACCAGAGCATAAGACTTACCTCAGGATAGAAATGTCGAACAATTAGGGCAAGATAACTAGGGGTCCCAGTCCCGGTGTCTAATTCTCCATGTACCTGCCAAGATAACTTTGTATAGATTATTACTCTGCATATCTGTCATGCTAAGCATCTCACAAGCAATGAAAAACTACGAAACCATCGAACAGGGAGCATAAAGTGGAAGAAATACTGAATTGCTTTAACCAAACCAAGAACAAAAAGCAGAAGCCAAACATGGCCTTAATACAGATGCATGAGGCAATCGGATCATTTCTGATATCAATTTCCACTTAACACGAACAAAGACTCGATTCCCAATCCAACATTGCAAGTAGAACTTTGCCCAGCGCATCAGTATGAGCTCACCAAACACGAATTTCGAAATTACAAACAAAAGTTTCGATTGATATTCATCCAAGATTTTCGACGGAACTTATGCGACGCACAAGACGAGAAGAAGGAAACGAGGGGTACACACCTGCAATAGGGTTTTCGAGGCGAGGGGAATCTTCTCCTTGGCATGTATCCGAAGGGATTTGGAATCACCATCATACCTGAGCGAGTTCTCCATCCCCAATTCTACTTCGAACCCCAGCGGAGGACAAGATAAGACGGGGAGGCGCTTGCGGGCGACACCCTCCTGCCTTCCCGCCGTACTTTCTATCGAATCCTAAAATCCCATTCCGGGGCGAGGAGTACTTTCAACCATGAGCCATGCTACTTGGCATGTTTTGACTCGTCAACCGTGACACGGATGCATGGCTGTGATTAGGACATACATCCCAAGCGAACCACGGACAGAAAAAAAGAATGGCAAGTTGAGGATTAGATTGCATTATGTTTGATTGTCGAAGCAGATTTCATAGAAAAAAAAATGGATTAAAATCTATTTGACAAGTATAATCTCCTTAATTTTATTGTGTTTGGCATGCTAAATTAGTTAATCCATGATCTAATTGTCCTCAACGTTGAAACAAATTTAGTTATTTTCGCTTCCTCGGTTGGCATCCGAGAGGGAGGAAAAAAATCGTCAGTTCACTTCACTCATATATTTTGCTTGTAAGATAAAGAGCAGAGAAATAAATATTTAAGCAAATAAGAAACTGAAAACATGGACGTTTGGTTCATAAGATAAAAGAGGAGAGAAATAAGTATTTAGGTAAATAAGAAAAAAAAAATAAAAGAAGAAGGGAATGTATGCATGTTGAGTTCCGGTCATTGTTGGCGTTGATGATTGTGTTGTCGACGAGAATGTCCTATTTGAGATTGTCTTGACTTTTATTATGATGGCTGTCCTTCCGAAAAGCCCCTTGGAGTGGTTGGTAGGTACGACCTATGGGCACGAGTAATTAGAACTCTCCAGTTTTGGGCCATCCTTCGTAGCAAACTCTTGGGCCCAACCAAAGATGTGCACCGGGTAGGAAGCCCCGTCTGAGTGACCTGTATGAAGAATTGAAGATGACAAAGAAATCTTGTTCTACCCATAGATTCACTCTGCTCAGACTCGGCATGTGACACCATCATCTAACAGAAAGATTTCCTCCATGCAACTAGTTTCAGCACCATCATGACATATGCAGTGACACTCAACATGAAAGTATAATATCTTAAGAGAACCCAAAAAAAAAAAAAATAGTAAGTACATCATATTTAAACCAGTTCCACAGTAGCGTGGATAAGTAGCATAATTAGTTATGTGATAATTGGCATAACTAACAGGCAGTCATTTGAGAAAGCAAACTCATTGAGCCAGGCGCTGAATGAGAGAAACAAGGTCAAAGTGACATGTGTATCCGTTTGATGTAAAGCAATTCCATATTCACAAGAAAGGAGCAAGAGAACCTCGAAGAAAATTCCAAGGTTATAGGACCCTAAGCTGTGCAAGGAAGGAAGCACATAGGTCGAGAAAGAGGAGCTGCGGCCCGCTCACCCTCTGCAAGTCGAGGAGATACTTCTCTTCCCTGGTCTTGTAGAGCTGCGATTCATAACACAAAAGAAGTATTATTCATAGAATTCAAATAATGACGTTACCTGAACTAAAAGTATAAGACAAATGGTAAATTGATTAACATATATATATTTATCCACAGAGCGTAGACCACATTTCATAACCTTTCCAAGTGCATCAAACTGAGTAAGACATGATATACGTGCCACCATATAGAACCTGAGAGCATGGGATGATACCTGGATTTCAAACTTGATCGTGCTGAATTCTTTCCCAGAAACATTGTCACTTTCAACAATGGCAGATTCATCGCTAACACTATGGTTAGCATGCAGGGAATCATTGAACATGCTCTCTGCATGATCAGAAATGCCAAAAAAATATCGGCATTTCATGTTATAATGTCCAATCTTTTTCCAACAAACATTTAGTTCTCGTAGAGCTTTAAGGACCTCCGTCATTATTTCACGAGGATGAGCTCGAGACTGTCAGTCAAAACACATTCAAGTCAGGAAGAGGATTGATCAATAGTAATGTAAAGATAGACAAGATAAACATGTGATGACCTGAAGTCCAAGAGCCCATTTTTTCTCAACAGGAACAGACGGTCTCAAACCAATTCCCAGTGGATCCATATATCCTGGTAGATGATGTGCAATAGCTGGAGCTTCACTTGCACCCATGCGTGAGAAACCATAATCCTGTAAAACCAAGCATTTAAATAACACACTTAATATTACATGTTATGCAAACAGGAATACAGTTAACACTTCTGCAGATTTGGCTAGACAGAGATTGGTAAGAACTACATGTTAACTTATAAAAATGCAGCACATACCATAGTTTCTTGAAAATCACCCCCAAGATAGCCACTCATAGCACGGAACCTATTGTCCAGAAGCAAGTAATATGAAACGGTTGCCTGATTATAAACAGTTATACAATAAGTTATGATTCCAGAAACGGAAGGTTATTAAAAACAATCATATAATATGGTACGATTCCAGAAAATGAAGGTTATAAGTCAAAGAAGCTTCAAATCACATCAGATACCTCATTCTGAATTCTGTTATGAAGAGATTCAACCAACTGGTTCTTGTCAAAGCCCATTTTGATTACCTCCTGAAGAATGTCTTCTTCAATCTGCAAGAATGGCCAAAAGTAATCCCCATCTTAGGAATTGTCATGGCATCCATCGAAGAATAGATAACTTGAGAAAATACAAATAAACACTAATCAGCCCACTCCATAGCACCAGAACAGATACATCTGCTTGGAAATAACATAAACAAGGTACAAAACGAAAAGAGTGAAAAGTAAGCACAGTGCAAATATACATCCATTTAATGCTTTTAACCAGTATGATGAATCAGATTTCACTAGAAACAGTGCAAAGAAAACTAGAAGAAACCATAAGAACAGAAGTTACCCACAATTATCCTTTCTTTTTTTTGTATATCTATCATTTCCTCAGCACTAAAACAAAAGGATAACTAGCTTGCCAAAGGAATAAACAATTTTGATTAAGAACCATTTATCATGAGACTTCATCGTGAAATAGACCTTATTATAAAAATTTTCTTCCAAACCTTTTAGTTATTTGCCAAATGAAGTGAAACGTCTAGCCACTTTAAAAAGTTGATCCTTTGCAACCTAGGAGACCAGGGTTCGAGTCATGGAAATAGCCTCTTAAAATATTTAAAGGTAAGACTGCATACATTGATCCTCCCCAAACCCCACATTGGCGAGAGCCTTGTGCACTAGGTACGCTCTTTTTTAAGTGAAACGTCTAGCTAGTAACAAAAACTAATAAATGCACATCATTAAATCATACACAATATTACAAATCCAGAAAGTTTTAAGATGGCATCTAAAATAGAGTATGACTTGACTAATTAACAACACCTACGGAACTTACCTTTTTAGCTTGCATAATAGTATCTGGTGGAGGTACAGCCAAATAACGAGGAAGACGAGTCTGGAACCATGGATGTTCTCGAATCTCCCGAATGGTTATTCGCTTCATAGGATCAACAATCAGCATTCTGGGAATTAAATCGCGTGCAAGAGCAGACAAATGGCTAGGAAGGGTATATATCCCGCCCTAAAGATTTTGATAATATAGGATATGTTAGATTATTGTATTTGTCTATACAGCTGGAGTGACAGTCTGATTTGTCCAAGATTTCTTACCTTTATTTTCTTAAATAAGTTGGGTATGTTCTCATCATCAAAGGGTAGGGTTCCACAAAGAAGAGCATAAAGAATAACACCACAACTCCACACATCGACCTCAGGCCCAGCATACAATTTCCCAGAAATTACCTAAAGTTGAAGACAAGAAAATAGTAAAAGTCAAATAAATAGAGTACAAAAACTTGTACAGCGGAAGAACTACATACCTCGGGAGCAGCATAGTTGGGGCTCCCACAGCTAGTCTTCAGAAAATGGCCATCACGCATGACATTACTCAAGCCGAAGTCAGCAATTTTAACGTCACATTTTGAATCCAACAGCAAATTTTCTGGTTTCAAATCTCGATGAACTACCATGTTTCTATGACAGTATTCAACGCCAGATATAATCTGTTTGAGGAAAGCATGGATATTCACCGAAAGTGAAGGAAAGAAATAGTTAGACATGCTTCAATCTTGGTAGAACAGAATGCCACAATGCAACAAATATTTTGATAAACTTGTTAGGAAAAAGAGGCTTTTAAAGCAAACATCAGTATTAGTATGCCACAAAAGCCAATATATTAAAGGTATCAAAAATAACGCACTGAACAGATTATATAGCTGATAACCAAAAGTTGTTAGAACTATTTGGATTTGCCAAACGGATATTTTCATTGATTGAGCTCTTTCTAAGCAATACATCCATCACATTATTTTTACTCCACAGTAAAAATTTAGAAAATATTGCACAGAAGTTCAACACTAGAGTTATGCTTATCAAAGAAAAATCATCACGGCTATGATTTAACGATGCATTACAGAAAAAATGATGAACAAGAAATATAATCTCAAGTACCTGCTGAAAAAAGCGACGAGCTTCATCTTCTTGCAGCCTGCCCTTTTCAACGATATAATCAAATAGCTCACCTGACTTAACATACTCCATCACAACATAAATGTCTGACTGTGTCTCTATTACCTCATAGAGATGGATGATATGTGGATGCATAAATAATCTCAATATTTTGATCTCTCGCCTCACTGCAATACAGACAAATGTCATTTAAAGAAATATTAACCAATGAAAGAGAGAATAGATAATAAATCCAGATGAGATAATCATGAGTGATCTCTCGCCTCATGGAAATACAGAGAAAATTCACCTAGAAAAACAGTAACAAATGAATGAGAAGATAGACAATAGTTCTGACAAGATGGTCATGAAATATTATCGGAACTGTTCATAAATATCCAAATTTTGGTTTCTCCAGAGCATGAATATGACAGATTTGAAGCCATGATCATGTTGGACACACATTATGTGTATGATATGGATATGCATCAGACATGATGCTATATGTACCCAACAATAAGCTTATAAACACTAACACAAGGGGGGAAAAGGTAGCAGAACATGGTTATTTGGAAGCAAATTTATAAAGCATAGTCAAGCTAATGTTCTCAAGTCCTCTGAGCTCCCCAGTCAAATGACAATACGGACTTCTGGTTGGTGGATCTCTACCAGAACCCCAGCCTCTCAGAGCTTCCTCTGCAATGGTAAGAAGAAGCATTAGAGACCAAGAGACAAAGGTCAGGGTTCTCCTTGTGAAGCATTTGGGTTCTCAGACAAGGATCACAATCGGCCTTGGTATGTCTGAGAGATATGCTGGTAATCAAAGAATTTAAGCACCACCAAGCATGTGAGATATCCATTACCATGCTTCCCTCTTGCTCTTGATTCCTTTTCCAGTCTCAGGGCACCTCTTATATGTTTAGCTTAGTCTTCTACTCGACAAATTTTTTTAGACAGAATTTGGGTGTATGATCAATTGTGACTAATATACTTTTGCAAACAACAGATGTTTTTATTTGTAACTTCAATTTTTTTTATTTTGTGATCATGCCCTCCTCCAAATCCTATATTGTTTTTGAATGTTGGATTATAGCCTTGCATAATTGATATCAAATATTAGATCCTGTCATCTGGGCAATTCGCAAGTGCAGAAATATCATATAAAGAAGAAAAAACAGAAATAGATACTTATGGATGAAATATTCAGAACAAAAATAACCCCACACTGTAAATCATACAAACTATGCACTCAAAATGTGAAATGATAAGATGGTATATATATTTAATTACAGAGTGGATGCATGTTGTGTCCTATTGTTTTAAGACATCATGTTAGCATGTCCATGACAAGTCCGTCTCTCCTGTTTTGTGCTTCGATGTAATGTATGTTTATAAACCACAAAATGTTAGAAAAAAGATAAGAAGAGTAGAAAACCTTAAAAATGGTAGTAACAAAAAAGAGAGTAATATTGCATGATATATTTGTGGAAAAAATTCATAGATAAATATTTAGTTGAACATTACAAAAAATACATTTCACGAACTATATTGGCCATTGGTGAAGGAACCATACAAAGTGGGAGGAAGACTGTGATGGCATGTATATAGGGCTAGATGGGTTTACTTTTAATAACTTGGCCTTGAGCATCTATGAGCCACATGGTTTTTGTTGATGTGAACAACTTTAAGCCGTGGCCTCGGGGCCGACGCGGCTTGGTTCGGGTCCGGATGAGGGGGGATCTTCCAGGGACGATCCTCGTGACGGTTGAGGTGGTCGATCGCGGTGGTCCGATCGGGACGGGGTCGCCGTTTCCTCCGGGAAGGAACTCCTCGCCTCGGCGTTTAGTGGGAGACCTCCGCCTTCATGCCTGCACAAAGGTCAGGTCGGGGGAGCTCGACCCGACCCCTCCGACGATCAAGTTAGTGAATAGTCGCAGGGGGTTTTTTATCTAAGCTGATGTTCTCTCTCCTCCTCCCCTTTTCCTCGGAGCACGAGGGTTTTTATAAGGAGGATTACCGTTGGCTGATGTGCCTGCCCGCAGGGAGCAGGATCGTACTTCTGGTAGCGTCTGACATAGCCGTCGACGTGGCGTGAGGGATCGAGCCTGAGCAGGGTGTTAATATGCCTTGGTAGACGTTCCGGTCTGCGTTGACCAGGTGTTGTCAGGTCAACAAAGGTGTGAGGCGTCGTCTGGGGTAGCTGATGTCACGCGAGTCTTATCGCAATTATTATCCTCATTATATTCCCCCCCCCCCGAAGGAAGCTATGCATCGGCTGCTGTAAAAGGAGGGTCCGATGCATGGCTTCGGCTTTAAGAAACTATCCCTGCCGGGCGGTCGCCGGTCCGTTGCCAGGGGTGTGGGAATCGTGGAGTTTAGTATTTAATGAGGGTTGGATGTGTAGCGGTGGCCCTGGGTAGTGTTCGACCGAGGAGCACAACTCAGTCGAGCAGGCCGAGCAGAGGCTGTGGTCTCGGGCGACACGTAGCCGAGGGGCATGACTCAGGCGGGCAGGCCACGCAGAGGTAGTGGCCTCGGGCAGCATGGAGCCAAGGAGCACGACTCAGGCGGGCAGGTCGCGCAGAGGTTGTGGTCTCGGGCAACGCGCAGCCAAGGAGCAACTTGGTTGTGATCAGCAAATCATTGCTTGGTGACGCGCGAGCGCGGGTGGCCAGGCCATTCCCCGCCTAGGGAAGCCTAGGGGACCGTCACTTTCGGGAGTCGCTAGTTTTCGAGGCTGATAAGATCAGCGCTTCAGCATTCGCACCGCGTGCCTGTTGGCTGCCACGTTAAGCTATATTTATGGCGAAGTGACGTTTGGTCTGCTTGACGCAACGTGCTTCAAGAGAGGAAGGGTCACCGTTTTGGCGAGATTTGGCCTATAAATATCGTGCAGTTGGCTTCCTGCACGTCTCGTTACTTGCATTCGCCCGGTTGCTTCTTCGGATTGTATTGCTTCGTCTGAATCGGCTGTCCTGCTGTTCCTTCCTAAGGTCGGTGAGGATGGCTTCCCCTTCTTCCTTGCCCTTGCCTTCTTCACCATCCACCTCCGGTAATGCCGGAGAGAAAACATTGTCGCCGAGCCCTAACTCGTCATCCGACGAAAAAGCGGCTAGGGCTCTCGAAGCCTTAATGTGGCCGCACGACCTCGACTCTACTGTGAGCGAGTCGTCACTTGGTTACCTCCGGGGCCGTTACGGTATCCCGGAGGAATTTGTGCTTACTGCCCCTGAGCCGGGGCAGCGGGCGTACGACCCTATCCCAAAGGGTTTCGCCTTAACTTTAGATGCCTTTGAGGCCGGGCTACGCCTCCCATTGCATCCCGTCATCACCTCTTGTATCTCGTGGTGGCGCATTTCCCCGTCACAGATGGCACCGAACTCCTGGCGCTATCTGGTGGCGTTCCTAGGGGAGTCACTACGCCAATATTACCCCGACCCAATCTCTCTTCCTCTCCTGCTTTCGCCTTTCCAAGGGGTCGGGGGGTTACTATCTGTCCGCCCGAGCGGATTTCCGGGTTAGCGGGGCTCCTTCCAGTAATAAGGGATGGAAGGGGCGTTTCTTTTTTGTCTGTCGTTCGGAGGATTGGGGCTTCGGGCTCCGGTGGGCGACGCGCATGATTGACAACACCGCCCCGGCCCTGAACGACGAGGAGCGTAGGGACCTTCGGCGGCTCAAGGAGATTCTCCCCGCCTCTCGGGTTATCCGGGAAATGACCGAGGGGTGGCTGGTCGAGGCGGGTCTTAGCCCGACGCCTCGAGGTATGCCCACAGTGGGTAGCGTCAGGGTTTTCCTAAAGATCGTTTTTGGTGTTCCGACCAATGTCGGTGCTTTCGTGCAGAGATGGTGAACCTCGTCGCTGTGCGCGAGGAGCGCTCTTCGTCAGTCACGTCGTCGCGTCAAACGGTCGAGCCAAGGGCCGGCTCAAAAGAAGCGCTAGTAGAACTCGAGGCCAGTCGACCCCAGAAGAAATCGAAGATCAACGTCCAAAAGGAGGATATGCCGCCACCTCGAGCCAGGGAGGTCGTTGTTGAACCAGGCTGTCGTGATCGGTGACGGGGCCCTGGTCGGGGCGAGGCCGGCTCGAGCAATGAAGGGGCGGGGAAGGCGCCCCGAGAACCCTCCATCCGCGATCTGTGTCGCCTCCCTACGGGAGCGCAGGACGAGCCCTATCAAGCTCGGGTGATGGGCGGACTTCCGAAGGGCCAGCCCTCCGACCCGCTGGTCGCCCGGTGGGCTGGCATGACCCGCGGACTTCGGGTATGGGCCGACGGGGAGGCCGCGGCCTCCTTCGCACGAGGCGGGCTTCATCCCGATATGGCTCGGGATCTATACACCATGCCCTCGGACGTTTTGCTGGGCAAGTCTGCTAAGTCGTTGCTGTGGGTAAGCATCTTGCTAGCGACTCCCTACCTATGCCTGAACGGTATTCGTTCTGACTTCTTTCTTTATGCAGGGCCATCATTATACTATGGCGTTGATGGACCGCGTCCGTGACGCGGGTCGGGCCCTCGGCGTTTTGAGCGACCGCAACGCCGAGCTGCGTCGGCAGATTGAGGAGGTCCGCGCAGGGGCGGCTCCGAAAGCGGTCGCTGCGGCCAAGCAGCATGCCTCCGATCTGGAAGCGAAAGTGACGCGCCTCTCCTCCGTCTCGAGGGCGGCCGAGCAACGCGTCTCAAAGCTAGAGGCGAAGTCGGCGCGCCTCCAATCAGAGGTGAAGGCGGCCAAGGATCAGAATAACGAGCTCCAGACGCTCCTGAGGGTGACTAGGACCGAGGCTCGTTTGGCTCGGGATGAGGCGGCGAGCCTCGCTCGAAAGTTGGAGGATGCGCGCGCCGAGGTGAAGGGGGCTTCCGACGCCCTGGCCGCCGAGAGGAGTCAGCGGCCGGAGAAAGACAGGAAGCTGATTGAGGACTACAAAGAGTCCTCAGGCTTTTAGCTTGGTTTGATCCGGTCGGGGCAGGTTACCTATGAATATGGGTATCGGATTGCCCTGGCTCGTCTCAAGGCGCACCACCCCAACCTGGAGGTCGAGGAAAACCCCTTCGCCTCCTGCCCCAAGGACCAGAGCGTCGATATGCCAGACGAGGTCCCTTTTGACGACAGCGCCGTAGCCTCCGAGAAATAGGGTAGAACACTGTAATAACCTAGGGGTTTGGTCTGGTGTTGTAACTTGTCTGGTCCTGTA